TGAGCTCTTCCAGACTCCTGGGTCTAGGCCAGTTCAGTCCCAACTAGATCAACTGCTCTGCTGGCAGAGCGTTTCATCCTGCCTTATCTTCCTAGTGTTCAGATTGAGATTGCAAGCGGGCCTCGGAAATCTTTCTGTTGAGATGCTTCTTCCTCCTCCTGGTCCTCGTCCTTCTCTTCCTCCTTTTTTAGTTCTTTCTTTAACAACTGCGATGATTAAACCCGGGTCCTTTACTTGCAAGGCAAAAGCCCCAACACGGAGCTGCATCAGCAGCCCCCGCAGACTGTCTCCCCACTACCCACAGGTGCTCTCTGTCTCCAACCAAGTACCCGATCAAAATATCTTTAAATCAGAAAATGAAAGGAGCCTGGCAGTAGTGTGGTCCCAGTGCTTGGGAGGCCAAGACAAGAGAATGCCAACAAGTTTTAAAACCAGCTAGAGTTACATTAACTTTCTAGCCAGCCTAAGCTACAGAATGAGACCCTGTCCCTGCAAAAAATAACTGAAAAAAAGATGACTATGAAGTATGGTACATTTTGTGTAACAATAAATAAACAGTAAATAAAATCACAAATGTGAAATCGGGGACCAATTTTTCTTCCTTGATGGAAATTTCCATCTGACTTTAAAGTTTTACGTTTTAAAATGTACAAAGCTGTGCGCTTTAAAGACAAGCATAGTTAGTGCTCTGGGAAGTCTTCTGCACTCACGTATTTTGATTTAGACCTTTTCTAAGTAGAGTGGTTGGGTGAGAAACTGCTGTAGTTAGGATGTATTATCTACAATGAGTCATTTTTTAGATATTACTGAATAAATTGAAGAGGTCATAACTGGTATATAATTAGTTTTATAAAAATATCTTTTTTTCCCTTCCAGATGTACAGCACTTAAGAGTCTCCATTTCCTCCGGTGTTTTCCTAGAAGTAAACCTAGTCATGCAGATCTGAAAATTTTTATAAAAAATGCAGTTTGAATTCTATGGAGTGTACTTTTGTGTATGAATAGTTATATAAAATATTGAGTTCTCAAAAAAGAAGGCTAGTTAGTAAGGTACTTCGTGCAACAGGAATGCTGTGGTAAAACAGGCTTGTTAGGTACTTGTGGTAACAGAAGAGAGAGCTCTGTCTTCATAAAGTGGTTCATCTGTAATTATAACAGATGTAGTGAAGCTAAGGTGGACTTTTAAAAATGCAGTCTATCAAGTTTATGGACAAAATACTGTGTTGACCAGATATATTAAAATAATAGACACAGGAAGGATTAAGGTACTAACACATAAGATTTAACAGGTGAGATTAATAACAGTTCAAGCTTTAAGTAAAGGTCATTCACCACGCATACTGTAGTCTTAATAGGTGTGTTAACTTCCCCAGAAGGTAACTGAGATTAGTATAAACCACTTCAGGAAATACTGTGATGATGAGCTGTGGGAAATTAGCTTTTAGGAAATGTAACCATGTGGAGAATTTACTTACTTGTATTTGGTAGACAATAGAGTAGGTTTGGACCTTATGTTAAAGTCCTTATAAGGTGAAAAAGCCTGCATATAATTTTTCCAATATAGTCAGCACCTGACTCAGTATATCTTGACTACATAACTTTTTTTAATGAAAGTAAATTATGGTTAAATAGCTCTTGGGTTACCCAAAAGGGTTCATATGATCCTAGAGTCCTGAGTAGTGTAGTATTTTGGGAAATGAGACAGGTTTGTCCTATATAAGGGTGAACTCATATAAATGCAGTCAGGTGTAGTGACTTCCACCCAGTTAGGATCTGTCTGTGGTAGAGATCTTACTTAGTGTGAAGGTGTGAGAAGCTTCACAAAGGCAGTGTAAGCTTTTAGAGATACTCTCACTACTCATGCACACAGCTCTCTCCCAAAGAGTTGTCCAAGGTACCTTACGCCAAAACCCCACAAGTATAATGGAAAATAGCACAACCCTGCCAGACTGGACAAGAGAGAGCAAAGAAAAAATGAAGTATGATTTTTCATGTGAGCTGTATAGAATGTCCACGTACTCAGCTTTCCCCACGGGAGTTCCTGTATCGGAAAGGAGCCTAGCTCGAGCTGGCTTTTACTATACAGGTGTCAACGACAAGGTCAAGTGCTTCTGCTGCGGCCTGATGCTGGACAACTGGAAACAAGGCGACAGTCCTGTGGAAAAGCACAGGCAGCTGTACCCCAGCTGCAGCTTTGTTCACACCCTGCTTTCTGCTAATCTGCAGTCTCCATCCAAGAACACAGCTCCTGTGAGAAGTGGGCTTGCACATTCGTTACCTATTCCAGAACGAGCGGGTACTCACTCCAACTTGTCCTCAAATCCTCTCAATTCTAGAGCAGTGGAAGACTTGTCATCAAGGACCAATCCCTGCAGCTATGCCATGATTACTGAAGAGGCCAGATTTCTTACTTACAGTATGTGGCCATTAAGCTTTCTGTCACCAGCTGAGCTGGCCAGAGCCGGCTTCTACTATGTGGGACCTGGAGACAGGGTGGCCTGCTTTGCGTGTGGTGGAAAACTGAGCAACTGGGAACCGAAGGATGACGCTATGTCAGAGCATCGGAGACATTTTCCCAACTGTCCATTTCTGGAAAATTCTTCAGAAACGCAGAGGTTTAGTATATCAAATCTGAGTATGCAGACACATACTGCTCGAATGAGGACGTTTCTGTGCTGGCCGTCCAGTGTTCCTGTTCAGCCTGAGCAGCTTGCAAGTGCTGGATTTTACTATGTGGGTAAGATGTTAACAGAGACTAGAACTTTCTCTTTTTTGTTTATGGGAATATACATGAGTCAGTTTCTCATCTTCTTTTCTTGTTTAGATCGCAATGATGATGTCAAATGCTTTTGTTGTGATGGTGGCTTGAGGTGTTGGGAATCTGGAGATGACCCCTGGGTAGAACATGCCAAATGGTTTCCAAGGTAATTGGTTCTTTGATTGTTTTTGTTGAGACAGGGTCTTTCTGTGTAGCCCTGGCTGTTCTGAAACTAGCTCAGGCTGGCCTGGAACTCAACAGCAATCTGCCTGCCTCTGCCTCCTGAGTGCTGGGATTAAAGGCATGTGCCACCGATGCCCGGCTATCCCTAACCTCTTAATTTTTATTATTGCTTAAAATAAATTTAGGGGCACAGTTGTTAGTGAAATAGAATTAGAAATTGTATATTTGTAACCAATTAACTATGTGAACTTGGACATAATTTCTAAAATAAATGGGCTGTTAGGAGTTTTTATCATGATAAAATATACATAAAAATATACCAATTTAGCCTTCTAAAATGTATTCTTGTGCAGCATAAAGTGCATGTGTACTGTTTTACAGTCATGTTCAGAGCCTTTTCATCTTCTCACTCTGAAACTCTGTATCCCATACACTTGAAAGCATCCCCCCCACCCCTGGCAACCAGCCTTTTACTTGCTATATCTGAATTTTTTACTTTAGGTACCACATGTAAGTGGAATCATACAATGAAGAAAGTTTGGACTTGTGCATGCCTTCCATAATAATGATAAATCTGTTGGACCTCCTTCAGGAAATTACAGGGACCTTTGGTCATTTTTGTGTGATATATGATGAAAAGGAATTTGGAAGTAGAAATGTTTATAGTGGATCAATCCATTGTATATGATGGGGTAGGGAGTGCACCCATGCCCACACGCCTTTAATCTCAGCACTTAGGTGGAAGAGGCATGTAATCTCTGTGAGCAGAGGCCAGACTGGTCTACATAGCAAGTTCAGGTCAGCTCAGGTTGAGGCAGAAGGAGTCTGAGGTCAAGGTTAACTTGGGCTACATTGTGAGCCCCAGACCAACTCAGCTAGTTGGCCAGACCCGATCTGGAAAAAAACAGTAAGCAAAAAAAAAATTCTTATCCAAGGAAAATAAAGCACAATTTGCTAGTGGAGGTCATAGGACAACTCTTCTTTCACCATGTGGGTTCTGTGAATGGAATGCAGGTCGTCAGGCTTGGTGGCAGGCATTTCTGAAGGCACCCAGAGTTTGTTTCAAGGGTTCTCTTAATGCAACAAATTTGACAAGTGATTTCATAATGTTGTAGGTCTTATTGGAGGTTGATCTTTAAGAACATGTTTGAAAAAAAGCAACATTTCTCCATAGTAATGCTAGTATGAATTTAGTCTTCACTGTTGAAAATGTCAGAATTTTAAATGACAACCATACTTGTGGGCTTATATGTTGTAACTTGAAATTTAACTTATATATAAAAGACAAAAACGTTCTAAATTCTAACATTTGAATTGCTATACTTTGTAAAACAAAATTCTTCACCCTGTTTTAAATGCCAAGGGAGAAGACAGGAATGGTTTTTGTCAGTGCAGCTCAGAACAGGTTTCAGCTGTGACTGTTTGCTCTCAGCAAAGACAGACTAACAGATGGTCATTATCACTAGGTTTTAGTATATATAGTTCACTCATTTGTCAGATTCAGGTGTGCTGCGCTCTGAGGGCAGTCAGGACTGCTATACTACATGTCTTTAACCATTCTGCTGATTGGTTTCTGTCATTGACACACTGGTCACCTGGGAAGAGGGACCTCAGCTGAGGATTGCCTCCCTCACATCTTAAAGCAGTCTGCTATGAAAACTGATGATTTCAGCTGCACAGAAACTGCCTCTGTCTTCCCAGCATACCATGGCTTTGGTGTCACTATATCCTTCTAAGTTTATTTATTGTTTATCTTCTTTCTTTCTTTCTTTCTTTCTTTCTTTCTTTCTTTCTTTCTTTCTTTCTTTCTTTTTTTGGTTTTTCGAGACAGGGTTTCTCTGTGTAGCTTTGGAGCCTATCCTGGCACTTGGTCTGGAGACCAGGCTGGCCTCGAACTCACAGAGATCCTCCTGCCTCTGCCTCCTGAGTGCTGGGATTAAAGGCGTGGGCCACCAACGCCTGGCCTATTGTTTATTTTTCATATGATAATTGTAGCTACAGTTATTTCTAATACTGTTTTTATTAGGATAGTTGTCACTATAGTTGTAGCTATAGTTATTTCTAACACTGCCTTTATTTAATAGGACAGTTATAACTACAATTGTAGTTACAGTTGTTTTTAGCACTGTGATGGACTGGGGTAGTACTGAAGGTTGATTCTGGGCTTTGTGCATTGTAGATAGGCACTTTACCTGAGTCCCAGTGTTTGTTTTTTTTTTTACCTTTATGATAGAGTTGAATTATTTACACTCTGCATTACAATGTGGAGAAGTCTGAAGATGATTATGTATTTGTCTTCACCTGTAAATTTTGTACTTTCCTGTGCTCTCAAGAATTGCTCTTTGTATTCTTTCATTATAGCTTGTGTATCTGTCTTGTTCTCTTGAAACTCACCACACTCCCTGAAGATGAATATTACTTGCTTATCTGACAGCAGTTTGTAAACACCTTTCTCTTCCTTCTTTTGAATTGGTTCTTGGAAAATTTTTGTCTCCCTTTGTTGTTAGAGTTTTTGTTTTATTTATTTGTTAGTTACTTGTAATCCTGCTTCTTAGATTTTGTGTTGAGCAAAGACCTTTAACTGTGGGTGGGTGTGAGGGTTTGGGCTTGTCAGGGGTATGGCAGGCCCAGACTCCTTGGGAAGTGCAGTTTCATAGTCTCCATGGAGCTTCTGTTAGCTGAAATCCTTGTTAGTGAAGGTTTTAGAGATTCTCAGTGTCTGGGCAGCATCAAAGCTTATGATCTTTCCTGTCATGGGAAACACCCTGGCCAATGGGACCCCTGTTATACCTGTTCTGGCTTGTGAGTGTTCTCACAATGAAGGGGACGGTAGCACTGGTGTTACCTGGTTTGTCTTGATGATTGAGAGCCTGAAGAGCAGTCACAGAGCCATCTGTGTGAGTGTGTGGAGAGAGCACTGACTGCTGCTGTGATGTGTTGAGTGTCTGAGATGAAGACACTCACCTTGAACAGCTGGAGGAGATGTGGAGCACAGGTGTGTCAGAGCAGCTGCAGGGCTGGGGCTTAGGACAAGAGCAGAGTGGACATAGGACAGGCTCTGACATGCAGGCTGGGTGCTACAGAGCATGGGTTCCTTGCTGAGTGTTGCAGCACCCCTCCTTTCTGCCTCAAGGGTTCCTTAGTAGTGGGAACTGGCTGCTCCATGGGAGAGGAGGTTCTGAATTCAGTGCCAGTACACACTAGAGAGTCTTTTGCTGTGACACTTCAGGAGGTCAGTGGTTCTCTCAAGGTTGTTGACAGCTTCATTGGCAAAGGTTCTGGGTTTTTCCCCAAAGGAGCCCCTAGGAGCCATGGTGGTATTTGCTTGCCAGTACTCCTGAACTCTGAGCCTACCTGTTTCCAGATGTTTCTGCTAAGCCTGTCCTCCCCATTGGGCCTTCTTTCCCTCCTCTACCCCTTCCCTCCCCTTCCCCACCCTACCTCTCCTCTCCCTCCTTCTCCCTTCCCTCTCGCCTCCCTCCCCCTCTCTCTTTAGTGATCCTTAGCTCAATCTTAGCCTTAGCATACTATTCAACCCCCTCCCCCCCCCACACACACACTGTCACAGCCTCCACCCACTCGTCTGTCTTCATTTTATGTTAGTTGGGTTACTCAGCCTTCCCTGGGCTGTATGTTCCAAGGACAGCTGTCTTTTTTAGTTTTGATTTGTTACAGACATAAGCAGACAAGACCCTTTTACTTTGCTATCTTTTTTTTTAAAACAATTTTTAAAGATTTTATTTATTTATTATGTATACAACATTCTGCTTCCATGTATATCTGCACACCAGAAGAGGGCACCAGATCTCATAGCGGATGGTTGTGAGCCACCATGTGGTTGGAACTCAGGACCTCTGGAAGAGCAGTGGGTGTTCTTAACCTCTGAGCTATCTCTCCAGCCCCACTTTGCTATCTTGCTGATAACATTCTTGTAAACTCTCCTTTAATCTGTGGGTTTTATTTGTTAATCCCACTGAATGACAGTAAAGACTGTGATGCAAATTCTCTGGTCAAATTAAGCAAGCTTTATTTTCTGTCAGTCATGCTTTCTCTCTAAAGTGGAGTTTGAGAAAATAGCATTGGACTCAGGAGAATGTTGGGTTTATATAGTCCCCAAACTGTGTGACTAGGAATTTTTCAAGGGTTGGAGGATTTCCAGGGGAATTTGATATAGGAACTTGGCTGAACATTTTAAAATTATTTGGCAGAATATCTGATCTCATCAGGATACATTCAAGGTGAGTCAACTCCATAGAGTGGGGAGCATGGCAAATTCCAGAAACAGGTTAAAGTACTTAGGCCAGCTTGGATTTTGCAGGAAACAGAAATGACATTGTTCTGACCTTGTAACAAAATGGGTTCAGTCCTTAAGATGGAGAGTCAGACTGCTCCATCAGTATTTTCACTTCTGGGTTTTAATTTTTATTTAAGTGTATGTGTCCGCATGTATAGCATGTGAATGCCATAGGATGGCGAAAAAACCTCTAGGGCTGAGGTTATAGGCATGTGAGAGCCCTTTCACATAGGTGCTGTGTATCCTGGGAGAGCAGCAGGTGCTCCTAACACTGATCCATCTCTCCAGCTCCCCTCCCCCCTTTTTCATTTCTTTAGCAAAGAGTCTTTTGAAGAACCAATGTCTCTAATTTTGAAGATGACATTATATCAGTTTTACCTTTTATGGATTATGTTTTTTGTCCTGGTCTAAAATTTCTGTTTTTGAATATTGAATCCTGTGGACTTCTGCATGCAAAGTAGAGGCTCTGTATCTGATACAGCTATGCTACCAGGCTTCTTAATTTGTTTTAATTTATTTTTACCATATTCGCGCGCGCGCGCGCGTGTGTGTGTGTGTGTGTGTGTGTGTGTGTGTGTGTGTTAGGGTTACTATTTCTATGATGAAACACCATGACCAAAGCAACTTAGAGAGGAAAAGGTTTATTTGGCTTATGCTTCCATATCACTGTTCTTTATAAAGGAAGTCAGGACAGGCACTCAAACAGGATGGAAACCTGGATGCAAGAGCTGATGGACAGGCCATGGAGGCTTGCTGTTTACTGGCTTTCTCCTCATGGCTTGCTCAGCCTGCTCTCTTATAGAACCCAGGACCGCCAGCCTAGGGTGGTCCCACCCACAGAGGACTGGACCCTCCCCCATCAATCACTGTTTATAAAAATGTTTTACAGCTGGATCTTTTGGAGGAATTTTCCAATTGAGTTCCCTCCTCTCAGATGACTTTAACTTTTGTCAAGTTGATATAAAATTATCTAGCACAGTGTGTCTGCATGTGGCTATGTGTACATGAGTGCAGGTGCCCAAGAAGGCCCGAAGCATTGGGTCCCCTGGAACTAGAGTTACAGAAGGTTGTGAGTTTCCTGCCATGGTGCTGGGGACTGAACTCTGGTTCTCTGTAGGAGCAGCAAGTGCTCTTGAGCACTGAGCTACCTCCGGCCTTCCTTCTAAGCTTCTCATATAAGAACGTGTGGACATAAGGAAGGACAAAAGGAATTTTCTTATATTGAAGGATATGGTTCATCTTTAGTTAATTTTTGCATGTAGCATGGGCATAGGTCAAGATTTTTTGTCTTTGTGCTTTTAAAAGAAATTTTCTTTCTTTTTTAAAAAACCTTTATTTATGTATCTATTTATTTATTATGTATACAATGTTCTGTCTGCATGTATCCCTGCTGCCCAGAAGAGGGCACCCAATCTCATTACAGTTGGTTGTGAGCCATCATGTGGTTGCTGGCATTGAACTCAGGACCTCTGGAAGACCAGTTAGTGTTCTTAACCATTGAGCCATCTCTCCAGCCCCCAAAGAAATTTTCATATGGACATCTTGTTGTGTAACATTTGTTCAAAAAGGAGTAGGATGGCAATGGATGTTA